AAAATTATTTAACTATTTATATGCATACTTTATTGTTGAACTATATTTGATTTTTGTTTCTTTGAATTTTTGAGACAGGGTTTTTCTGTGTAACAGCTCTGGGTGTTTTGGAACTCACTTTTTAGACCAGGCTTGCCTCGAACTCACAGAGGTCCAGCTGCTTCTACCTCCCGAGTGCTGGGATTGGCAGCATTCACCACTATAGCCCAGTTTGAACTGTATTGGAATTTTATGAATGCAAACTGGTTTTCCTAAAATGTGCCAAGTACTTAAAGTCATTTTCTTACATTCCATTCCTTCATTTTTATCATGGTAACAAATCCTGTCTGAAATACTCTACCTCCTCTCTTGCCCTTTTTTTAAAATTTACTATGCTGTTGCTAAACTATTCCAACTCTTGCTTGGTCCTTATCTAATGTATTTTCGTTTGGGAACCAAATACATACACATTATGCTATAAATTTTCTTTTTCTGCTTAACATCTTTTTTAAGTTTTAAGGTAATATCTGTACTTTATCCTTCATTTCTTTGTAGAAACATGTTTTATATACATGTGTCTAAAGAAATATCTAAATTATTTTTATAATATATCCATTTCATCAGAAAGAAAATTTAAAATATTCTTAAATATATTTGTATACTTTTATCACTTATTAAATGTAATGTCTAAATAAGTTTATGTACTTACACTTATTATCTAAATATTGTAAGTAGATAAATGATAATATAGCCTAATATCAACCATTACTAAGTGCAGATAAATAAACTATGTCAGAAATGGGTATAGGCATAAAGATAGGTAATTTCTTACATGAACAGTGTATTTTCATCATTCCTCCATTCTCCCCACTCAAGCTATTCTCAAGACTTGCACTTCCTCTCAAATAAATAACATCTTGTCACACACACACACACACACACACACACACACACCAGCATATAGTGCAGTATTGGTTATATCATATTATACATTTATGACTGCACTACAGCATACAGTTGAAAGTATTTATTCTAGCATATTCTTTAATCTTTCAAATCGTATTCAACTCTCAACTGTGCCATCATCTTCTGACAAAGCTTACCACTGAATGGACTAAGGGCATAATCTTTTTGTTTGACATTTTGCTGTTTTATCTCTCATCTCTATTATTATTTTCAAGTGACAATTCTACTCTCCATCTGTAATTCCTACTCAAATCTTCCCTTGCCAGACATCATTATATTAAACATGTTGTCTGTTAATTATTATATTTACATTGCCTAATAGGAGTTGTGTCATATTCTAAGTTTTAAAACCTGCCATGTTTTGGGGGGGCAGATAACTTTAAAATGATAATCAAGACATCAAAGTAAATCCTTACAAGATAATATATTTAATATAAAATGGCACATAAATCAGTAAGAATCCAGTAAGAAAAAATGTGAAGTGTGAAAGAGATAAATGTGCATATCAAATTAAGTAAAAATAAATATTTGTTTTAATTTTGAGAAAAGTACAAGTTTCTATGACATTATTATACTTAGGATGTAAGCAAGTAATATTTTAAGAATATTAAGCATTGATAGTCTCAATTACTAAAGACTCATATTGATGCTAATTGACACTAGTTTGGGAAATTTACTGCTGAGTGAAGAAATAATTATTAGGAATGGACTGAGATTAGCAAGAAAGGGATGCACCTGATATAAATGTCAAGTGGCAGAATCAGGTTTATAGCACTTGATAAGTATATAAAAAAATTGGAAACCCTTCACCTGAGGGTTTTAAAACCTTGTTTGTAATGCCGATGATCAAATGCAAAGCCTTGTGAATACTGGCTGACCTTAGTGCTTAAATTCTAAGAAGAGAAATGCATGTTTAATTGTATCAAGGAACATTCATCTAGATGTTTATACCAAAAGTAGTATTATAATTTAAAAAAAAATATTCATGGAGTATTTCATGAAAGAATATAAATTAACATGTCAATATAATGAGGTATCAGTAAATCAACTATTGAGTAAAAGGTTTTATAATTTTATAGCTTAATATCTCTACTTTATTGTTAAAATAACATTTAAAACTTAAACAAGGTTTCCCATTGTTAGTATTTGTGGCTATATTTATATGCAGATGTAATAAAACTATTTGCAGAAGGAAACATTAAATAAATGTGTTAAGGGATAAGGAAAGTATGTGATTTACTCAATACATTAGTTTGTACAAATATTGTCAGATTTTCCTGATAAAAATTTGCAGAAGCAAATATAAACTGATTAAATGACTGCTCTTCATATATTTTAGTGTATATAATCACACACACACACACACACACACACACACACACACACACACGTGTGCATGCATGTGCACACACGTGCAAAATAATAGTCAAAATATTGAATAAAATGGCACAATTCATTTCTACTTGTAGTTAACATCACATTTAAGTGCTATACTGTGTTATACATTGTCAAATTTGGTGTCTGTGTTTGTACACAAGTATGAATACATATATATATGCATATAAATACATATAATATCAAAACTTACCTAGTTATAGATGGTATTTCTTACGAATTTTCTAATCTGCATCAAGTTTCTTTTGTAAACGGTTTTTGAGACTCTGTATGTAAGGAGATAGACTTAGGTAAACTTCATGTCACACAGACTAACACAAACATTTTCTTAATTGCGAATTCATTTGTCCCTCATTGAAAATAGTTTTTCACAGGCCCCCTGAACATGGGTGTCAACTAGAAGCACTGGGCAGTCTATGGGACCTCTGGCGGTAGAACCAGGATGTATCCCTAATGCAAAAACGGACTTCAGAAGCCCATTTCCAATTGAGGGATACTCTCTTAGCCTAGATACACAGGGGATGGCCTAGGTCCTGCCCCAAATGATGAGACAAACTTTGATGATCCCTCATGAAATGCCTCACCCTCCCTGGGTAGTGGATGCGGAATAGGATGGGATGGGGGGATGGGTGGAGCACATGGTAGGGAGAGGGAAGTGAGTATTATATGTAAAATAAGATTGTTTCTAATTTAAATAAAATTTATTTAAAAAATAGTTTTTCATTCAATATATCCTGATTACAGTTTCCCTTCCCTCTACCCCTACTAATTCCTCCTCAATTTCCTCCCATATGAGCATTTTATCAATATGGAAAACATCTGTTATTCTACTTTCCTATTAAAATTTATTTATTTAATAATTATTTATATGAATGTTTTGCCAAAATGTGTGTCTGTGTATCATGTGCATGCATTTCACATAGAGATCATAAGAGGATATTGGATAGTTTATCTGGAATTACAGATGGTTTCTAACCACCATGTGAACTGAAGCCAAGTCTTCTCCAACAGGAACAAGTGCTCTTAACCACAGAGCCATCCCTCCAGCCCTTAATGGTTATAATTCATAGAAGAATTTCCAGAACCTGGTAGAAATGATCATCCTTTCCTTGTCCTTCATATTAACGTATGGTCCTATTGTTTTCCAAAAAGGTTCT